GGAGATATTCTCCTATTCTAGTCATTTAAAAGTATTTAAAAAAACTTTGGGCTATTACTCTATCTGCAGGTGATTGTTGTGTATTGTGTGAAATAAGGGCCCAGATTAAATTTTTCCCATGTGGTTAATATTATTTATTGTATAGTTTATTCTTCCTCCACCAATGCTACCCTTAACATATGTGAACATTTCATAATTATTTTCTTTTTTCTGCATTTCATTCTGTTCTGTTCCAACTCCCAATAACCTGCTGTTGTAATAACTATTTCCATTATAACCTATAATGGAGAATATGAAAAAGAATATATAGATGGATAACTGAATCACCTTGCTGTGCACCTGAGACTAACAAAACATTGTGAATCAACTTTGCTTCAAGTAAAAAATTTAAAGTTTTGTCTATCAAAAGTACCCTAAAAAGGGTTTTTTTTTAAATAAGTAGATACATGGAGAAAATATTTGCAACATATATGGTAGACCAACAATTGAGCTCTAGGGAAAGGGAAAAACCCAACAGGTAAAGGAGATGCATTAACATGTCTTAATATTCATTAGAAAATTTCATCTACTCTTTGTTCTTATTTCTTGAAATTTTGTTGACTAGCTGTTCTTCCATATTTACTCTTTTAGAATCTCTTTATTTCATTTCACAAAAAAAATCTTGTTAGGGTTTTTGATCCATGTTTTAAAAAAATGTTAAAACCCACTAGACTGGGCACTGTTTTGTGTTCTTAAAGCCTCCACGATGTATTCTTCAGCTTTCCCTGTCTGTTATTCGTATTAAAGGCAGGGCAGACCAGGTCTTGTGGGACCTCAGGTCTATACAATTTGAGAGCGCTCTTTAAGAAAAGGAATGCAAAATTAGGACGGCGACAGTGGGGGCTGTGCCTGGGGAGGGGCCCGGACCTCCAGCCTGACTGGCTTCTCGGTGAGCCCGCCGCGGAGTGGCAGTCTCACTCCGAGAAAAGGTCCTAACAGACGGTACCCTCCCTCCCAGTAGAATAAACCCCTCGTTCGTGGCTTCCAGGCTGCTTAGGTGGTATCGGCAATGAAACAATTAAATTGGCAGCCTGGGTTGTGTGTCTGGTTGTGTGTTACGTGATACCGCTGCCTCGACTTCTCCCTGGGATGGCATCTCACACGTGAGGATCTCCGGGCACATTAAGAACATTAACTAATTAAACCTCACAAAACCCCGGAGACACGGGGAGGGGAGGCGCCGCATCACCTCGCCCAGTTCTGAAATGCAGCCGCCTCTGGGGATGAACGTGGCAGCTGCTTCATAACAACGGCAGCACCCCGAGACACGGCAGCCCGACAGCTAATCGTCCTGGTCGGCAATTGTCTTGTGAACGTTAGCCTGTCAGACAGCGAGCCTCCAGGATTAATTGTTCGCTGCAAATTTGATCCAGCCTCTGAAATTTCTGGCTGCTTAGTAATTTCGTCCTAATTACAGAATAAATGTATGCACAGGGGAGGCCCAGATTTCTTTTAAACTGGGCTGTATTTTGAGTAGTTCTTCAAATTTAAAACTTAAGGAAAGACTTTTTTAAAATAAAGTGCAACTTAAGAATAGAGAATTACTGGTAGAAGTTTTTGTTTAATTCACAAACTTGGCTGCGGAGCAAAACGAGTCAGTGACGGTGGAAGTCAGAGCAGCAGCTACTGCAGGAGGCGCGCTGGCCGGGGGCGGGTGAGGGCGGCTCCTGGGCGCTGGACGGGCTGTGCTGTCTGTGGAGGTGCCGGTTCCGTGGGAGCGGGG